CACCCTCACAGGGAACAATTCCTTCCCAATATCCCTCCTAACCCTGCTCTCTGGCAATTTTAACCCATTCCCCCTTGTCCTGGCACTTCTGGGATGGCCTGGGTGGCACCAGGACCATCCTGCCATAGCTAAGTGCCATCCTGCTCCCACCTCCTGCTCAGCTGGACCTCATCCTTCACCTCTGTTTTATTTTTGAGGGGGTTCAAGAGTGAAACCAGCATTTTCTACCTCTCCCTTTACCCTGCTGAAGGTGCTGCTGCTGGTGATGGTGAGGGAAGGGTGTGATTTTGGGCTCTGGGAAGAACAGGGGGCTTTGAGCTATGAATACAATTACAAAAATCACTGGCATCAGATAGGATTCACCTTTCTCCAAGGGGAAGAGCTTTAGACTTGCGGGAGGAGGAGAACCATCCCAGGTTTGCCCAGGACACGCTGTCTCTGACTCCCCCAGGGTTAGGAGGATGTGCTGGGTACTCTGCAGCACACATGGAATTTAACAGAGATGAGCCAGAGGCAGCAGGAGCCAGGAGGGAAACCAGAGAAAGACCCCAAAGAATTAAGGGATGTTCCTCTAAGAATGTGACCTCCAAAGGTCCCTTCTGACCAAACTGTGCTGTATTTCTGAATGGGGCTGGATTGAAACCAGATTGAACGTGTCACTGCTACAATGCCTTTGCATCCCCTCAGAGCACAGCTCCAGGCAGCAGCAGTGGACACATTTCTCCAGCACTCAAAACTCAAATTGAAAAGCTGCCATGAACATTAAAAGGAAAAAATGGCTTTTTAAGAACTCCATACGTTTCTGTTTCTTTCCTCTTCCTCTCTTTCTCTCTGATTCACCCTTCTGATATTTTCCTTGGACTCCAAGCCTAATGCATTCATCCTTCTTAGCACATTTTTGGGCTCTTTCCACCATTGTTCTTGGAAACTTTTTTCTCTTTTTTTTGTAAGGACATATATTTAGATATACAACCTGATCTCCCACATTAAAAAAACCCCTACCTCAGGCTGGGAAGGGAAGAGCATAGAGAAAAGGGGGTTGGGGCCCAGGATGACAGGGTGACAGGACCTCCAGGTGCCAGCACAGGAGGTGGCATTGCCATGGGGACATTTGTCTTTGCCTAGAATTTGATGGCTGTCTCCAGCATGGAACATCTCCCAAAAGCTTTGCTGGCACCAGTGCAGGGGGGGTCACTGCAGCTGCCCCCATGGGCCCTGTCAGGGAAGAAAATAGAGTGACCACAGCATCCCTGGGCACCTCACTGCACCCCTGAC